TGATACACATGGGTCAATGATACTTACATCCTGTAGTCATACAATTTCGCCTATTTCCAGGCGATATTTGTGAATCCTCAGGAGGCAGTAACAGAGAGGAAGGAAAAATGAATGACTATCGATTCACAAATAAGCAATGGCTTTCAAGTTGGTAGAACTGAAAAAAATACCTAGCTGGTCAGTAGATCTGGTATTGTTGATTAGGAAATCTTAAGCAGAATCTCTAAGAATGAGATGCGACTTGTCACTGCAGGTAGAAGAAGTGAAGTTTCTTTGGAGAACGGTGGGTTGAACACAGAAGGACTGTGCTATCATAGAAACCCTACTAACACCTGGATGGAGGTAAGACCGGTGGAAAGGAGATCAAGAGAGCAGCCAAGAATTTTGTGAAAAATGATTAATCTTGCCGTCAATAGAAATACGTGGCACCGGTGGCTACATGCGTCATCACACTGAGAGTCAAATGGGTGAAAGAAAAAGAAAGTAATGAAATGAAAATAAATGGTATTACAATATATATAAAGCTATAGAGTTCGTTGTTTTGAACTCTGTTATCTCAGGAACCTAGGGATCGAATTTAAAAACATATTTTTGTATTAAACCGTTTATTAGGAAGGGTTAGGCTTTATAAAATCAAAATACAAGCAGTAACTATAAATGTCCATCAATAAAAAAAAAATGTCTACCTTTTATACCAATGGAACCAAGTTAACAACAGAAACTTTTTAGTACGGCTACAATTATACGAGCTGTACCATGCGGTTTCACCAGCTTTAAATTTAGGATGTACATGCCGTTTTAATAATTTTCTAATGATTAAATAACCAAGTGCATCTGATAATTCATATGACCTCGGGAAATTTATAATTTTTTATACATCTAGTCAATATGAACATATGGATATAATGACGTGAAAACACTTTCTGAGAAACTACCCAATGGTATGTCTACATTGGGAGATCACGGGGCCATCTTCTTTTTAGACGCCTTGAAGGGTTATCAGGAATTAAAGAGGAAGTAAGGTTAGTTACGAGAGGGTTGGGATGATTCTGAAGTTTATTACGGAAGGATAGGTATCTGGATTGGGCCAGATCTGAAACATAACATACATTAAGGTCATTATGGATTGTTTTATTTGTAACAAAGTAGGGAGCATTGAGGATTTTGGATTGTAAGGATTGGCTACGAGAGAAATTCGATGGTTTAGTGGAGCCCCATAGCTCAACTCCGTAAGTCCAAATAGGCTTTATTATAGTCATGTATATGAGTCTTGTAATTAATTGAAAGTTTAGAGTGTTTGTGTAGTAAGTGCTGAAGTAATCTGAAACGTCGAGCGGTTTCTTGTCGTTCCAGTCTGATATGTAGAAATTTAAGTAGATAAAAAATGGAACAAAAACTTAATGACTTGACTCAAAGCTTTGAGCCACCAAGTGATTTCTATGCTCTCTTATTTCGGGGGTGTTTGGCGGTGCAGTGTTAAAGTATTCATTTAACCCAGCCGTAATTGTAATTATAGTGCGGAATGCAGAGGTTTGCTAACTCCGTTGCAAAACTTTAATCCCGAAGAAGCCTCAGCTCGAAGGAGACAGTTAGAAAGTTAATGTGCCTTCAGCAGCCTGCCATCTTCCGCCAGGTCCTTGTCGCCCCCTCCCGCTCTGTCGAGATTTATCGTCTCCCTTTCTAAGAAACATTGCCTTTCTTTCTTTTCACAGTTTTTTTGTTTTTGTTTTTTTGTAGGAGTCGCTTCTTACTTTAAGGTTAATGTTAACAAAAAATAAATAAATGAACTTGAATTCCTCACAATTTCACATCAGTGTGTTTGAGAACTATTTTTATTTATATTTGGATCAATTGAGAATTTCTGTGAGCAAGCCCTACGATTTGTATACTAAGTGGCTTGAATACCTTCATTGCTCGAAACACGCTCTGATGATGACCCACATACATGTATTTTACCTGGCTCGAGGAAATAATCTGTAGTTGGCTTCTCTTCAGGATCCTGTAATCTGTATGTATTGATAAAACATAATGTTAATCCACTATGAAACATTATTAATTTTAAACATTAATGAGTGGTTGCAGTCAATGAAAAAAATACGATTTTTTTTTATTACAATACAGTATATAATTATTAAAATATTATTTTCATCATTAATATTTTTATTGAATAATTAATACTTGATCGTAGTATAATATTGAGAAACGAGAGGGGTTGCAATGGCTTTAAAGCTAAGTAATAGTTTATCTTTAACAGTAAGCACTTTTTATTTACTCTATAAAATTTCTTAATTGTTTATCTAAATATATTGTATTTGCTCCAGTTTTTTATAGCCTTTGTATCTTGTTCGTTACTGTCGTGATGAGGAATTGCATGGTGTTGAAACATTCGCTTAAATAAAATAATTTCATCTATTTTTTTTTATGACCGTCACCCCGGACCATCTTTTTCCTCAAGAAATACTTTTACTGTCACTTCTTAACGGTAAGAAATATATAGGAGGGAAAATTAATCGTGGTCTTGAATAATTTTTAATCTGAGTTTTCACTGAAAAAATACACGTTTTGTAGTCCCCTATGTTCAAACAACCAAGTATCTTAAAATGATATATTTTTATTTTAAAAGTCTAGCTAAAAAATAAAATTACGAAACTAAAATTACGCATTTAAGGTGTGTTTTCATACACTACATACCTGGTATATTTCGACGTTTTTTTTTTATTATTAAAGTTGACTTATGGGAAGTACTACTTTATAATATTAATTTTACAAATTTTTAAGATTTTCTCCAAAACGGCTCCAACAATTTTGGTTAAACCCCTCATATCAATGTATATTTGATTTTTTTTTATTATTAGGCAGGTTTTTCCTTCATTTAAAGAGTCTGATACGGCTGAAATAAAGTTCGAATTTTTAAGTTGTACAATCTTTTTAAGAGCAACCCTTATAAAGTACAGAGAAAAAATCGCAACCTATTGCAAATTCCTCAGCTTGTGGGCAATGAAAGGCTGCCTCCTCTTTTATCCGACCCAGACTAGATTATACCCTCAACAATAAAAAGAATGCCTGTCAACTCAACAATGACTGATGATACTCTTCAAGGCCTAGGATAAATAAATGTAAAGAATAGGAAGAAAAAATGGGCATATAGTTTGGGATATAAAGCTCCTACCCGTTCCCCTCCAAAAAAATCAACCTACTTTTTCCTTATTAAAAATACCTATTTCAGTTAATGGTATAGTTAGATAGGTGAACCTCTATCACCTAGTGATTAATGATTGCTTATAATAAATAAATCATATTGATGTATTAAAAGCAAGGGTCGAATGAGTAATAAAGTTTTTTAAATAAGTTTGATTTTAAAAATATTTAGCAAAGTTATTATAATAGGAAATTGGTGAGTTAATGTTAAATCATACTAGTGTTTATTTTGATGATTGGATTATTTATGATGATATCGTTCCTATCCTATTATTTCATTCTTCTTAACTCATATATGTCCAGCCATTATCACTCCTTTTCAAAACTCTTACTTTTAGCTTTAGTTATTTCTTAATGGTAAACGGTTGAACAGAGGTGCCCATCCCCCTCAAGGTCGATAGCACAAGAACCTACCCTCCCTCCTCCCAAAATAGTTCATTGTCCACTTTTCTTAAAGGTTTTAGTTTTCTAGGCAAAGCAAGCTAAGATTTGAAAAATCGTAGAATTTGAAAAATTCTTCTTAGTACGAAAATTCAAAACTCCGTCGAAATTTGACCCCCTCAAAAATTCAAAATCTCCCTAAAAAATTAGCTCCATTAAACTTCCATCTGTGCACCCCTGCGGTTGGGTGGGAATTGTGATGGTGCGTAGAAAAGAGTTTTTCAAATACGTTTTATCAGAAAATATTATCATTGTAAAATATAACAATGAGTTTTCATTTCTGGCAATTCGAAAATACGTTTTTTTTTTTTTGTGAAATTACTTTTTTTTTCTAAAAATAATTTTGTATATAATTTTCAGAATTACTGTTTGTTGTGGAGTTTTATTTAAAAAGTTATTGGGTCAAAAGTTTTTAAATAAATTCATCAAAATGTCATCTTAATGGAAAAGTTCAAGTTCAATAAAAACTTCATGTAAGATTAAAAAAAAATATATATATGTTTAACCTAAAATTTTAAAAATAGAAGTCGTATTTCCAACTCCTGATTAAAATACGTTATAATGAAACGAGAAGAACAATGAGAAAGCGCCATTAAATTATCACAAAATATTTTTTTTTAAACAGTTTCTATGAGGACTGCGAGGGCCCGGATTCAGTTCTCCACACTTCAAACAGTATTACATGCAGTTAGCAACTTAATGCTTCACTTTCATTTTTCCTTTTTTTTTTTTTTAAATAAATTCCAAAGTAATAGTCAATACCGAAATACCTTAATTTTTTTTTATTGCATTGCCACAAAATGGTGCTTATAATGTAACTTCGATTTTGTTTATATTCCATTTTTATCTTGACATTGAGAAAGTATTACACAAATAATGTATAAATTATATCATACAAATTATAATTATATGTAATAAATAAACTTTTCTCATTTCATTTTCGATATCATTCACTCGTTCATTTACATCAATTCACTCGTCATATAAACGGCATAAAATGTCAAAGTCCACGCCTACGATTTCTGGCTCTTAATGAGGACACAATTAACAGATATACACAATGAATAAGGAATTTATTTCACATTCGTTGTGAAAAGACAGCGGTATTCCTCGAAAGGTCTCCAACGTCCGATATCGTTAGAAACTTCATAACTAGTGTCGGTCGCCGGAAACCGATATTGTCGGGAAAGACATTTAAAATATATTATGCTCAACAGCTATCGTATTAAAGAGATATCCTTAAGCGCTGTTTTGGAAAGGAGTGGAAAACTAAATCATTTTCCAGCTATGGACATACGCAGGCGCATGATTATTTAGATTGCTAGCAAGCTATATTTATACTGATATGGTGTGCCACTTACTCAGTGATGTTGTGGTGCTTGATGGCGATGCCGGTGAGGAAGAGGAAGGGCAGGCAGGCGCCGACGGCGAGGATGCTGAGCGCCGCCAGGACAGCCTTCGCCCTGGAGACGGTGCACATGCTGGTCCTCTTCAGCGGGTAGCGGACGGCGATGAACCTCTCCACCGTGAAGGCCACGATGAACCAGGGGCTCAGGAAACCGAACACCTGGAAGGAGCACAATAGATTAAAGTTTAAATGATGACTGGAAGTGGATGCGAGAATTTGGTGATTTAATGTATTCCGTAATGATCAAATTACTATTCATAGTCATAAATTAGGACTATGAATAGTAATTTGACTCATAATATCTTATTAGGACTCCTAATAAGAGAATGTAATAAGGGATATTCCCCCGAATGGCTAATATCTTTAGAAGCTAAAACATGAATTACATGAACATGAAGGTAGCGTATTGGGTCCCGTCCTTTACATCCTCTTTACCGCCGATATCCCTGTCCATCCCGATACCTTTCTGGCAACTGTTGCTGATGACACCGCCATTCTATCATCCGACTCAGATCCTGATATAGCATCCTTAAACCTTCAAAGACACCTCTCCCTGATTGAGCACTGGTGTAATAAATGGCGTATTAAAGTAAACAAATCCAAATGCCAACAGATCACCTTCACTCTCCGACGCAGTTCCTGCCCACCAGTACACTTTAATTCTATTCAGCTTCCTTTCTCAGACTCAGTCCGGTACCTTGGCTTTCTCTTAGACAGACGACTAACGTGGAACCCTCATACTAGACTTAAAAGACAGGAACTAAACCGACGATACGGACAACTATACCGGCTACTAAACAGGAAATCAAAACTTTCCATTGAAAACAAGTTACTGATCTACAAGGCAATACTGAAACCTATCTGGACTTACGGACTTGAACTGTGGGGAACAGCAAAATTTACTAACATCAAACGCATCCAATCCTTCCAATCCAAAGTCCTTCGAACAATAGTGAATGCTCCTTTCTATGTAACCAACCAAACCCTACACCATGACCTTAATATCCCATTTGTCCTAGACCTTATCCCAGCTAAATTCTCCAAATTCCTCCAGAACCTTACCCATCATCCAATTCCGTTTGCACAATCTCTATCCAGCACCACCCATCCATATAATCCTCCAAGGAGGTTAAAACGGCAGTGGCCCCGCGATCTTTTATAGTTTTTAAATATTGGAGTTCTGGCCATGGCCAGATTCTCCACTCACGACATGAGTGTATGTGGCTAAAGCACTCTTGCTCAATCTCCACTGGATTTCGCCCTATTGACGCGGTTGAGATAGGAGTGCAGGGAACTCATGGAGTCATACTTTTCCCTCCACAGTTGGAGGGACAAGTCTGATTTGGAGTTCTCTCGCCAAATTGTAAATATTGTATATAGGTGTGTATGTGTTCTTTTTATTTATTTATTTTTAGGTTATTTTGTTCTTATTTATTGAATATATATTTTTTTTCTGTATAATTTATTTTATTTACTGTTCATAGAGTGTGAATGTGATCTGTGAACACTATTATAATTGTCCTTGAGACAGATTGTAATATTTTTCAATCAATAAGCTTAAAAAAAAAAAGGAAATAAAAATAAAAATCAACAATATTTCTTAACTTCTTCTTCGGTGCGTACTATTTATTTTCAAGTTTATTTATTATCAGCCAATTTTACACCATTTTTTTAAAATTCTGTCAACTTAATAACTACACATCTACTTACGACATTTCTGTTCGCTGAGACATTTTCAAGTCTAAATACCCACTACGTACTTGTCCTTTTCACTTATGCGATTGCATGTGTCTGCTAATAATCAGTCACTGAATAGAAATGAGACTGATGACATGTCGGTGACACATGATAAGGTGGACATGACAAGAAAAAAAAAATATGAGTAGACGCATGGAATTCTTATAAGTGAAAAGGACAGGTACATGGTGGGTATTTAGACTTGAAAATGGCTCAACGAGCCGAAACGTCGTAATTAGATATGTAGTCATTAAGTTGGCAGAATTAAAAAAAATGGTGTAAAATTGGCTGATAATAAATAAAGTTGAAAAAAAAAATGAATTTAATAATATAAAGTATAAAGTAACGCTATGTCGCCATTTTCAAGCCATCTATAAGACTCTATTCATAAATAGTTTCATGCAAAACTACATTTAACCTGATTTGACAGAGATGTTAGAGATGTCATCTCCTAAAAACCAGCATTGTTTCAATTATAATAGAAATTAGAATATGAATATTCCGTAAATAAAAGTTCATATACTAAGACAATATTAATGTTTTAGGATGGCTTGAAAATGGCGACATAGCAGATGTAGAAAAAGAAAAATAAACTCTTTGGAATGAATACATCCTTTACTTTATATTATTTAACAGAACTTCGGCTAAAACAAATGGTCATACCTGAATTGTATTTTGTAATAATATATCTGATGTTATCTGTCATAGTGTCATTTGTTTTATATTTTCAAATATTATTTTTATTAATATTTTATATTTACCACACTGGTAATGGAGTGAATGGAGTATATAACGAAGAAACAATGAAATCTATTGGATAATAATTTAGTTATCAAATTATGACAAACACATTTTGTAGTTTGGCTCCGCTGTTAAGCAAGGATAAAAAAAAATGCATTTGATTTATTTATTTTCATATTTTATTTTAATTTATCCACTTATATATAATATACTTCCCGAATTATTGGTTCGGATCAACTAGTATTATAATTATTATTTCTAAGATGTTTTATTTTCAACTATTACAATATAAGAAATGCGATATATATTTATATATTGTTGGTTTGTCCTTAACCTATCCTATGGCATCTAAGGTGTTTATTGATCGTTATGCGAGTTATTTTATGAAAATAACTGCGAAATATTGGGAGAGAGGCAGAATTCGCCTGATAGAATTTTTTATAACAGGCTTTACGGATTAAAATATGCACTAAATTAAAAAAAAAAATTGGTAACATGATCGATAAAGGATTTATTAAAAATAAAAAATATCTATGAAAGGGGACTCAGAAGTTGGTATGTTGAAATATTTCATTCAAGAAGTGGATGCAGGGTGAGTAGAATAACAATATAGGCTTGATTTATGTTTTTAAAGGTTCGAAAAGAAACATTGTAGAATTATTTTTTTATAAATTTGGATAAGGTGGTGTTACTTCGGCATAGTAAACGGAGTTTTTGTAACTTTTAAGGATCCAATAAATAACCATTAAGGAAATATTTTATATGTTTAATTATAGTGTCAAAGTTGAATAAATTATGGGGGTTGTCATGAGTATTGGAGTGGATTCACAGTTTATAAGAGGAATACGAGTATCGTAAAATTATTTTAACTGGGTTAAGTACATTTTTGATGGTTTGTAATATCGCTTACGGTTAGTCGTGAATTTCAAAAACACTTACCGAATCCTTTAATATTATAACAAAGAAATTTATTATGGTTGTTCAATTTTTAGTGGGATCATTTTAAAATTTAATGATATTTCTATATAATAAAAATAGATTAAGGTTTTAAATATACCATAGTATTTCCATAGTAAATTTTATTTATAAAAATTCTTTTTAAAAAGTGTTTTGAGGTGACAATTTTGTAATGACAAGCTGACCCGTGCGAATACTTCGCCCGAACCCAAAATTTGTATCAGATTTCAATACATTAAGGACTCAGCATAAGTTCCTTTTAGTAATGTGTCTAAGCAAAGGTTTAATACTTTTATTTAGTAATTTATCAGTTTATAAATATTATGATCAGTACCCATCCATAGTTTAACTTGCCAGTTTCATTAAATTTATAATTATAATATTATATTTTTCTTAAGTTTACAACAGCTTTTAAACATTGGCTTTAAATATCTGATGAAGGCTAAATGCTTTGGATTTAGTTCTCTGGAAGGAACGATTTGACCTAGCAGGCTGTATTTACAGGGGAAAAAAGAGAGATGTTTCTTTTCGTCATTAAAAAAAAGAAGTAAATTTTCAAAATGATAAACATCTAATAGCTTATATATATATATATATATATATATATATATATATATATATATATATATAATATGTTCTTTAAAATAAAGTATCTTAACAAATATTTCAAAAATCATGAAATCATGAAAAAAAATCATTAGAATTATTTTAAATTAAAGCCATGTTACAGACAAATTTGTTTCTCAAGTTTTTAAAAATGACAGATGTCCTTTGGGATTAATCGACTCATATGTGCTTTCTATTTTCTTTCTTTTTCATTTTGCCAGGCTAAGCCACAGCAGCGCGTGGCCGGGTAAAGCTAGTCCTAAATAAATATTACTTTGAATATATTTAAGTGTTTCTATTGCTTATAAATTTATTTTCCTTCTTCACTTCATGGCAAAATATTTTATAAATGAAATGATATTCAATCCTATATAAATTATGTAAATAAGTACGATTATTAATAATTTTAATATTCGAAATGAATGCTTATCTTTTATTTAAATCCTTCATTTGTTCAATACATTTTATAAATCATAGCATAAAAAAAAATAATAATTTAATTGCATATAATAACTATTTACTTGCACTTAATTATAATTTAATTCTATTTAACAATAATTTTAATTGCATTTAATTTAATTACTCTCAAACCTGACACATGAGCGCCTTATGTGAAGAGAACACCTCCTTAATGTAATTCCTGAGGGTCCATTTACCAACGTCGCACTTATGGACAGGATGTTGCTTACGAAGCTCATCGAAATGAAGATGAATTGGGAAATGATAGCACAATCATAAAAAATAATACAAAGATGCCAAAGAAAGTGTTCTTATTTTTATAAAAAAAACTCAATTAAATCACAAAATGTAATTATTTTTGGTTTTTGTAAATTGTTTTGTAACTTTCAAATATTTTGTACGTTTTTGTTTTGTAAATTTTTAATGTTTTCTATCTTTAAATGATAAATTTCTAGTTGAATTGTTTCTTTTGTTCTAATGTTCTTGCTATGCTGAAAAACCCAGGTTTATAGGCACATTTTACAGAAAAAACTTATACTCACTTACATTACAAATAATACTGAATTAATTATAAAGTAAATTAGTAATG